AGACAGCCTCTGGACTCTCAAAGATGACAAGTCCAGGCCCTCAGAATGGCCCCATGCTGGCCAGCATTGGCTGAGCTAACTCAGGAGATGAGGGGGTTCTGGGCAGGGAGCCCACTGTCTCCTCCTCATGACTTCTCTTCCTCCTCATCCCAGGAACCTCTTTGCCGGCCAACTGTACTAAAACTCCGGAAAACCATGGCGGGGAGGTTTTCCAATTAGAACATTATTTTTCCGATCTGTAGATGATTCTTAAAGCAGCAAAAAGCCATTCTTCAGGGCATGTGGGGATTATCTGCCAGCAAGACCTTGGCTCAGCTTCTGCACTCGTGCTCTGGAGGCCTGGCCTGGGGCAGCTTCAGAGCCAGAGAGAAAAGGCAGAGTCTGTTCTGGGGCATCAGGTCATGCAGATAGAGACTGCTGGTAGAGTGTGTCCTGCTTATTCAAAACAGTGTATTTGCAAAATAGCAAAGCTCCCAACACAGGGCTGGAAGGCATTTGAAAGTGGCCCATCTCAGGAGGTGCATGATCTCCCAGTCCCCTTACTGGAAGATAAGTTCAAGACTCCCATCAGGGTTGCAGCCTGTGGAGCAAACAGTCCCTGGGCATGGAAACTAGTCTTCAGAAAGGGACTTCTTTGCCTCTGCCACCACCCTGAGCTACCTCTTCCTGGGCAAGATGGAGCTAGCAGTATAGTGGGAGCTCTTGACAAGTAAGAGTGTTTGTGCTTGCTGAAGAAGAGGCACAATTTCATAGTGGATAGTGCAAACTACTGGAGTTGTAAGGGGTCCCTGTGGTGATATATTGTGTACCCTAATAAACTTTGCCTGAAGATCAGAGGACAGAACAAGCCACTAGATTAAACATAGAAGCCAGGCAGTGGTGGCACACACCTTTAATCCCAGTACTTGGGAGGCAGAGATCCGTCTGGATTTCTGTGAGTTCAAAGCCACCCTGGACTACATGAGATTGATTCAGTCTAGGAGAGAGACAGAGCCAGGCAGTTGTGGCACACACCTTTAATCCAAGTACTTGGGAATCACACATCCTTAATGGAGGGAGGAGAAAGGTATATAAGGCCTGAGGAGGCAAGAACTAAAGGCTTTTTTCAGGCTGAGGAGTCCTAGAGGTTAGACAGCGGCTTGTTCCTTTGTCTCTCTGGTCTTTCAGCATTCTCCCCAATATCTGGGTCCAGGGTTGTTTTTTTTTTTAATTAAAAGATCATTTAGAAGCTGGGCAGTGGTGGCACACACCTTTAATCCCAGCACTCGGGAGGCAGAGGCAGGTGGATCTCCGTGAGTTTGAGGCCAGCCTGGTCTACCAAGTGAGTTCCAGGAAAGGCGCAAAGCTACACAGAGAAACCCTGTCTCAAAAAACCAAAAAAAAAAAAAAAAAAGTCTACCAAGTGAGTTCCAGGAAAGGCGCAAAGCTACACAGAGAAACCCTGTCTCAAAAAACCAAAAAAAAAAAAAAAAAAAGATTATTTAGAAATTTAAGTTACAGGTCCCTGAAGGCAATATTTTGTAGGTGAGAAACTCACCCCAAATTCTAAGAGTTTGGGCTACCTCCTAGCAGCTGAACTGAATACAAGCACAGAGGCCTAGTATCACAAGTATCATGAGGTCTCTTCCTGGGTGTAGCTCTGCCTAGCTTGGGGACACCTAGCCCCAGGGGACGCACCCTGCTGAGAGTCAGCAGAGTCACCCAGCAAGTATAAACTGGTTGCAGAGCTTAGCAGGATGAGGCAGCAGGGCGGGACCTGGGAAGGAGGGAGGGGAAGAGGGGATTAGGGTACAAGCAGGAATGTGGCACTCCCTATACACAAACTCGAACACCCCAGCTTCTACCAATTGAACACATAGTCCATCCAGAGCCTCTGGAGCTCAACTCTGTACCAGACTAGCTATGTGATCTTAAGGTCCCTTTCCCTGCTTCCATTTCTCCATGTGTATGGCTGCAGGGTTCAGCCCATTTGTCTCCAATGTACTCTGGTATAGGGATCCTACCTCGGACACCTCTGGGTCCTGATAGCTTTCAGGGTACCACCTGTTTTTCCCTTCCAAGCCTGGGAAAGCTTCAGCTAAATAGGCCTGCCTGGGTTCTGCTTCCAACCTTGCAAATGAGAAGGGGGCAACTTAGGAGCTTAGTAATCCTGCTGGCCCATTCTCTCAGACAGCCACCTGTCCTCTGGCCCATCTGTTGACTTCAATCTGGCCTTCTGGAGAAGCTATTTTGGGTATATACCTACTCCTGAGCTGTGACTCCCTCTGAACAGGGATACTGCCTACCACCCCTTTCCTTTCCTGGTAGTCCAGCCTGCTCTTTGAGCCTTCTACACTTAAGAACCAGCACCTGTGCTTTCAATGCCTTCTTGACGGCATTCCTGGGGGTTACCGCCCAGTCCCCTTGGGCACTGCTACACAAGCTCGATGAATACCAGAGCTAGAAAGAAAAGATGGAGGGGGAAATTGCAACTCTGAAAGGGGGAGACTTTTTGGCTAGTCTTGGAACTGAGCCAGGAACTAAGGCACAGTAATGGAAAGGAGGGCCACAAAAACCTTGGGCTAGAACTTGAGGAAAGTCTAAGGAAAGGTTCATGAAGACAACAACTTGACAGCTGAGAATGGGTAAAAGAGTACCTGATGTCCCTAGAGAAGAAATATCATCCCTAATAGAGGAGCTTGGTCATATGACAGTACTTGGTTTATCTGAGTGCATGTTACTTGTACATTATCTGTATCCTAGCACTTGGGAGGCTGAGTCCAAGATTGCTGTGAGTCTGAGGCCAGCATGGGCTACATAGCATCCCTCCTCTCCAAATGGTGCCTGGCTGAGGTGACTGGAGGTAGCCCTGGAAGAGGGTGGGAGTGGAAAGCATCATTAGAAGATTCTGTTGGGACAGTGAACAGGTGGGCAGGGCAGGGCACCTACCATTCGAGTCAAACTCGTTTGCAGGCAAGAACCCCTGCAGGGCCTGGCAGCCTGGCTGGGAGGGAGGTGTCAAAGGCTGGTCTCTATGGTTAGAGCTGTCATGAGGGATCTATCCTGGGCAGGGGCTGAGTCGCTTTGGGTAGGAAAAGAACTTGAGGTCTGGTGCAACCCTCAGTGGCCAGCTATGCTATTGGATACCACTCTTGCTCATGTTCTTCAGGTGCTCCATCCTGATTCAAGGTTCTGGGGCAGAGCTTTCTGTTTTCTAGAGGGCCTTGGGAGACAAGTGCTACCACCTTACTCATCCCTAGCCATGCTGTATCACTTTGTTTTACATTCTGCCTCCTTTTAGGCTAGGTTCAAAAAAGTTGTGTCATCTACTCTAGGGCATATAGTTAGTATGTTTGGGAGCTAGGATGCCAAGCCAAATACAAGACCATAAGTAGCCTCTGTGGGAGAAGGGTAAGAAGCATTAGATGCTGGCCACTAGCCTGGGGCCAACTAAACTGAAAGGAGAAAAACACCTGCTGGCAGGAGACAAAGATTAACCACTCCCCCAGAACACACAGAGCACTTTCTTGCTGTCTGATAAACCCCACATAAAGAAGAACCCTTCTTTTAGAATTGCAATCTCTCATCTCTTCCTTCTACAAATGCCCCAGATCCCCTGGGCTGGTCTCTGTGACCCAGAGATAATCAGACAGGGTGCCAACCTCACCATCGAGAATAAAGGGAAGTGATTGAACAGAAGGAAGTGGTCAATTTGACTAGGTGGCAGGACAGAAAGAATTTAGGAATGGTTGGATGAAGTCTGAGGAATGACTGAGTTCACTAGCAGAGGGATATAGGAAGGGCACTTCAAGAGTGTGAGTACAGGAACAAATGTCTGAGGTGTGAGGACACATGATGTACTCAGAAGACATGGGAAGTCAGGGTGAGTAAGAGTGGCTGGTCTTGCAGAGAGAGGTTGACCACAGTGAACCATTAGGCCTTCTGAAGACATCTCTTTTGATTTGAAGAGCAACAGGAAACTGTAGGAAAGAGCTCTAAGCAGGTAGCATCTGGTCATATTCACCCAATGAAGCTGCTTAACCAGAATTCTGTGTGATAGCTGGGTGGGAAGAAAGTATAAGTTGCAGGCAGGGACACCAGTAGGCAGATTTGAAGGCCACTGCAATGACTATAAAATTGGTAAGACTTGAGAAGTAGGATCTATTGGCCTTTTTTCTTTTTCTTGTTTTCTTTTTGAGCCTGTCAACCTGATAGGCTGTTGCTTGAGCTGGCTTTAACTATCTCTTCTGTTGGAAGTCCTTCCCTGACCTCACAGATAGGGTTAGGAGCCTTTGTCAGATATTCTCTTAAGTTTGACACCCACTACATCATCCCACCCGGTCAGTGCCTTGCACACATTAAGTATCCAACAAGTGTGAATGAATGTCACTGAATGTGTGTCTTCTGGCCTGGACTGAGAGGTGGCCCTGATTTTTGTGTCTCACCCGCTCCATCCAAGAATGGACTACCAGGGTGCAATTTTTGCCAGGCACCAGACAGAAGTTTCTTGCTCGCTTTTTTTTTTCTCCTCTGCCTGACTTCCTGCATGATCTCAGCCACCAGTCGCCACCCCACCCCCCACCCCCAACTCCGGTCCTTTCCCCGCCCCTGTCTGGGATCTCCATCTGTAAAATGGATCTAGGCACAGTAGTTCTCTACAGAACTGATCCGCCTGCATCTGTGGAAGTCGTTGGCCCTGAGCCTGGACCAGATCTCGCCAGGCACAGGCAGGGACGCCACTAGGCAGTGGGGGAGCCCTTTACGTGGTGGAGGCCTCCCGGCTCCTGGGGCCGGGTGCCCAGAGGAATTAGCGTGGAAGTTTTTCATGGCGGCAAAACTTTCTGGAGCTTGCTCCAAGCCAGGCCAGTGGAGACACAGCCTTGATTTCTCCAGCAGCTCCACAAGGCGGAGCAAGGAAGGGGTGGGAGGACCGAGGACACTGGCGGGAGAATGTGCGGAATGTGCCAGGCGCATCTACCTACCCCAGGAGAGGGCAGAGGAAGGAGGCCGGCCGAGGGGAGGGGCGAGGGGCGAGGCTCCCTGCAGCCGGAGAAAACCTGTTTGTTCTTGGGCGGGCGGAGCCCAGTCTGTGCCACCTCGTTTCCAGGCGCGCTCTTCGCTGCGCCCCTCGCCCACCAACACAGCTCGGTAGGGTCCAGCACTGCCCACCCGAGGGAGCCCGCGCACCACGCCCGCCCGACTCGCCGCCCGTCCAACAAGCCAGGCACCTGTACCAGGTAGGGTTGTTGAGTTGCCGTCGGCCGACAGGGAGGCAGCAAAGGGTACCCGGTTTGTGTCCTCCTGAGCACAAGCAGAGTCTCGGTTTCTCTACCCATAATTCATACTCGTTCCAAGGGATTCTGGGGTTCCAGTCAGGGAGACAGTACTCTCGATTTTATGCTTTTCACTCTGGGTGAAGAAACTGAGAAGCAGGGTACTTTAGTGTGACCAACCAAGGCGAGTGGCCCTCTGGCTGGCCTTGTCTCTCTGTCCTGACCATTTGAGGATGAGACCGTTTGTTAGTAAACTGCTGACTGAGGGAGGAGGGGACAGGGTGAGCCTAGAGTTGGCGTTTTGCAAAAATCACGAAATACCACATTCTCAGTAAAATGTGCCCATTTTGTAGATAAAGAAACTGAGATGCAGAGACAAGCTTACTCTAAGAATCCCCTCTCACTGGCCTGGAGCCTAGGACAAAGGGACTTGATGGTGGTTTGTGATAGACATGTACTGGGCATTGGACGATCTCAGAAGGGAGCTGCTTATACTCAGACAGAAGGCGCCGAATCAAATGTCACTGTGGTGTTATCAGCTGGATCTGCTGTGCACAGGCTCTGTGACTGGATTGTTTGTGCGGGGGAAGGGAGAGCCAAGAGCCTCATCCTCTTTGGAACTGCATAATGATACTTGGCCTCTGAGAAAGGCTGAAAACTCAGGCCCTCCTGTCAGCTCTGCCACTTCCTTCCAAGCTGTGGCACCTGGCAGCTCTGCTGGTCAAAGAGAGAAGCCTACCAGGCCCACCTTCCCCTCCAGGGCTGTGGAATCTCTGAAGTTTGTTGGGAGTTGTGTTCTCCACAAGCCATATGTACTGAGTCTTGATATTAAGGCAGGTGGTGACACCTGCTCTTGGTCTTGTCTTGGTCTCAGGGCTCTTTGGATTTCTCATTATAGTGCCTGGTCTGGGTGAGGAAGGAGGTTTCCACAAACTGATAAGCCTAAATAGTGATGAGGGACTCTGAATCACAGAGCTGCAGTGGGAGGCTTGGAAGGTTATCTTCCCACAGCCTCAACTGGCTCATCTGAGCAAACAGTGCCAGCTTGGGTGCCAACAAGTCTCCAGGGCACAGATGCACTCACCAGGTACAACTTGCTGGAGGGCTTTGGTGTATGTACTGTTCACCTCACCACCCTCAGCCCACTCACTACAGGTTTGGAAGGAACAGCGCCATCAATCCTCAGCTCTGGCTGGGGCTCTGAACTCAGTGGGGTGGAACTGACAAAAGGTACCTAGGTCAAGGCCAAGTACACAGCAGGTGCTCAAAATATGTTCATTTCCATCCTCTGGACACTCATGAGTCAAAGACAAAGGTGGCTACAGAGGGTGCTGTAGCTTTGAGAGTCATTAAAGCACTGGTGGCTCCCTAAACATGGATCAGAGATGCCACCCTAGCTGGAAAGATTAGGTAGACTTTGAATGAGAGTCCAGCAGCCTCCAGGTCAAGATGGGTAGGAGAGAAATCAGCCCAACATTTAACAAAAAGAAGTCTTTAAAGGGACAGATCACTCCAGAAGGAGCTGCTGTCTGAATCATAACAGGAGTGATTGTGTGTCCTCAAGTTGGGAGGGTAGTAGTCCCAGGAGCATCTAGAACCTAGCACAACCCTTCCTCAAACTGCTTTGGGCTCCCAGAGGCCTTTAAAGGCTTCTAAGACCTGCTAGGTCAGGGATTCTGGTTTCCCAGCACTCAGCACCTGGCTAAGGTAGGCATTGGTACCTGTTCCAGAACTGTCTTCAGCTGTATGCCAAGAAAAACTCCCAATTCTGGCTTGATGCATTCTGAAAGCCAGAAACCTGCCCTTCTCCTTTCTCACTGAAGCCTCCATATATGACTTATCCCTTTAGCTGGGATGTTGCTTCAAGCCATAGCCTATATTGTGCCAGGTCATACATAACACAAATTTGCCTTCTGCTTGCTGAGCCCTGAGGCCACTTTCATTGCTAGCCCTGTGGTGACATAGGACAGGATCACTGCCAGGAAAGAAAAAGCTACTTTCTAGGTCTCTGGTGCTTGGAGAAACTTCTCATGTTGAACTCCAGACGTTGGGTAACCATGGTTGGGAATAGACCTGGGAGCCCACAACTTATCCAGCTTTTTCATCCCAAATTACGCCCTACCTCACCTCTTGCTCCCATGACCAGAGGAGGAAACCATCATCCCTGGTTAAACCCTCTCCTTGTACCAAGCTGCTTGAACACGAGGGGGGAAATCAAGGCCATAAGAGGTTGGGTGGCATGCCCAGGTTTGTACAAGTGGATGGTTGCTGAGCTGGATTCTGAACTCAGTGTGGCCTCTGGGCCTTTCTCTTACCCATAAGGCTGTAAAGACACTATCCTCAATGACAGGAGACCCTGCTAGGGGCAATATGTTGGATAGTTCATCCCCCTCATCTACTGTCAGTCCCTTTAGCACACTGCCCTGGTCTTGGTATGAGCTGATTCTCCATTGACATAGCTGGAGTCAGTTCATTTTTCCCAAAGGGAAACTGAGACACAGAATGGAGCCCTTTTACTTTCTGTGGATCCATGTGAAAGCATTTGGCAGGTCTTTTCAGTTCACTTTCCCTGCTAGAATGACCACAGTTAGAGGGTATGGACAGGGAAGAGGGAGTGGGGTCTAGGTAGGGAAGAGGCTGGAAAACTCAAGGCCAAGAGGCCCTGTGCATGTTGTTCTCCAGGGCTGATGTGCAGACTCAGACTCAGAGATGAGGAGGCTGGAAGGAATCTGCAGCTCAAGCAGATGTCCCTGGGAAATTTGCTGGAGAAACCTAGAGGCTGCTCTCAGAAACACAGTCTGGGCTTTTCCTGTGGGCAGTGCTGACTTCTTGTTCTGAGAGAGAGCTAGGAACTTGGGGAATAGGTAAAGCAGAAGATGGGCAGTTCTTTTTTTTTTTTTTTTTTTTTTAATAACAGTAGGATCCAAGGTTAGTTTTTGTAGCCACAGCTAGCTGTTCTGCCTCTAGCACATTTGAACTTCCGGCCCTTGGAGCAGACATAGGGTTTGGTATGGCTGTGGCCTTGTCAAAATGCCAGTATACCTCTCGGCCCTTCTGAGGACCAGACAGGAGCACAGTGCCACGGCCCTTGGGAGATTCCAGGGCCAGCTGGTCAAAGGTGAGGATCTTACTCCCAGCCTTGAGGATGTGACTTCGGGTGCGGCTGCTCACCCGCAGTGCACACACCTTCAGTTTAGGCACTTCGAGAATCCCCATGTCTTCTGTGACCGTCCGCACAACCACAGCTGTCTTGTTCTCACGGCCAGGAAGCATCATCTTTCGGATCATCCAGAACAGGAACAGAGGTGGCCGGTTAGTGCGACTCATAAATAACCTTTTCAGCACAACCTGATTGAAGGTCGAGTTGGTTTGTCTGGCCAAAAACCTGTACAGCTTGACTAGCAGCCACAGGTAGATGCCTTGGTTCTTGGGCTCCTTGCACCGAAACTTTTGGTCATTGTTGTGGTGAATGTCAACACCCGTGATGGCGCCTCCTGCTCAGCCAGGTCCAGAAAGCGGGCAGTTCTTTACTTACTTGTTAATGCCTATTTTGTAGCCCCTCTTCTTGCACAGTTGCCCTTGAGGTTACCGCTGGTGGCCTGGGGAGGCTGTGGAGCTCTGGAGACACACCCTGGATTCAGAGAAAACCTGGCCTCTGGAGCCAGTGGTGGGCAAGCCCAAGCTCTGGTGATGCCTATTGGTGGTCCCTGTCTTTGGATCTTTCTGTAAGCATATCTCAGCCATGAGGTTCAACCCCCTAGGGTAATCCCTGTGATGTTTGGCTCAGAACAACACTTTCTGATGACTAAGTCACTTTCCCAGGGAGCTTGATGTGGCAGAGGGTTGCCACATGGAAAGAAGAGGCACCAGGATTCCAGTCACAGGAATGGGGATCCCTGTAGAAAATGCTGACATTAGGCACTGCTTGGTTTAGCCTAGAAAGAAAAAAACCCCACAAAACCCAAAAAGCAGACCTTGTTTCACCATTTCTGCCCATGCGTGCACTCATCTCCTACTCATTCTTTTATAGTTTAGGACCTGATCCAAGGGTGCCTCCTTGGAAAATGCAGCACTCTGTTAGGGCCCACAGGATCTATCTCTCTTCCTCTAACTGTCTATCTCCCTAGCACCCAATCTGACCAGTAGCTTTCCATAGGTGCTTGTTGCAGAAAAGAAAATGTGACCTTGGGCGAATGCCTTCTCATCTCTTGGCTTCCATATTCTTATCCCAAAATGGGGGTTGTTGTAGAGGCAAGGACGGAGTGAAAGGGACTTTGGGTTTAAACTGGGCAGGAAAGTGTGATGGAGGGTATAGAGGGCCTGGAGTGTGGAAAGTTATGGAGAGAAACATTTTTGGGTGCTGGAGGAACTGCTGGGTAGTTCTCCTTTCATCCTCACTAGAGGATCCCTTGCAAGAAGGACAGGAGCAGTTTGGGCCAAAGTTAGGAGCAAGTGGGGCTGAGTTCTTGTTACTTTGTGCTCTGACAAAGGTTGAACAGGTGGCAGCTGTGAGGACTTGGGATACTCATGAAGGACCAAGGGAGAAAATGTTGAGGTGGTGGTGGGTTCCAGAGTCCCCAGCCCTTTTTGACCCATGATGTGCCCATCTGCAGATGAAGATAGCATCTCTGAGTGACTAGTGCTGACCTGAAACCTTAGATCTCAAGTTGCAGAAATAACTATCGGGATGTGAAGATGTGAAAGTGCACAGGTAGCTAGCACTGTGGAGGAAGGCCTGTGAGTTCCTCGGGCCCTTTCTTGTGGTATAGCTGCAGAGGTAACAATGGTAGCAATGTAAGTTGCTCATACGAGGAATTAGAGAAGGGGTCTTGTTGAGAGCAGGAGGTCCCATGGTCCTGCTATCCTCAGCAGGCTGGCCTCACCCAGGTATCTCAGAGACATCTCTGAGAGCTCTCCCCAGCATCCCTCACTAGTCCTGTAGTCCAAGGCACCCCTGAAGTGGC